AACCGTAAATAAGGATCTAAGATAAACACTAAGATATACGCTAAACATTAATAATGTAAAATAATACGGTATGTCTGTAAACGTATGTCTGTCTTTTTGCAAAAAAATTCATGAACCACTGGATTTTAAAGAAATTTTCAGAAAATATTAATTGTATGTACATTACTTTTTGGAGTCAAACTCATTCAACATGGCTGCCACAGCTACGGGGTAGGCCTGCCTGTCACGATAACAAATTTTGCTGGGTGATTAATTGTCACAGAAATTATTGCGATAAACGATAATATTGTTTGAAATTTGACAATAATTAGTAATTATTGTCAAATTTAAGAAGAAATGTTTATTTGTTTTGTGTGTAGTACCTTTTTTCGACCACCGGATGGCAGTAGAAGATTGTTTGAACCGAAGGATGGATAGTGAAGGAGCAAGCAGCGTGTCTCTTTAAGAAAATTGGGAGGGAGGTCCCTTGATGTGACATGGGCTGTCTCTCTTTCCTTTTTTCGGTTCTCAAAATGGTGGATGTTTGGTGTGATCTGAGCTCTTTAACATAGCATTTGTCACACAAAGCTTTTAATTAAAAAAATCAGTAAACAAGTTCTCAGCTTCTTTTTGCAGAGAAAAACAACTTTTTATCTGAAGGCAGTGCACGGGTTTCAACCGTGAATTTTGGAGCTTCGACATGACGGAGGTTTTTTCCTGAGGTCGGACTGTTAGCTTAGCTCGTAGCTTAGCTTCTCAGCTAAGCTGCTTTTAACGATCCAAAAACGTGATTTTTGACGGTTAAAATGGATTTTAAAGAGAAAAAAGAAAGGGAGGGGTCAGTGAAGAGCACCGGAGTTGAGTCTTTTGTCATGCAGTATCTGCCGAAAGAGAGCGACACGAAGAAACGATAAAGCTGATAAATAAAAAAGAGGTTGATCATTTTCATTTATCATGCAATTAATTGATTTATTGTTTATCGTGACAGGCCTAGCTACGGGTCTTAAAAAACAGCTTTAAGTCTGCCAGTTTCAAGGTACAATCTGAGGCGGTAGTAGCTGAGAGTCATTCACAACACATACTTCAAGCGCCCTTGGATCACAAGATCTAACAATATAGCATGAGACTGTGCAAAACTCAATTTACAAGTTTGACCAAAATGGCTCCAACTCATCAAATATGCTCTGTTTAAAACTCTGGCATGAAAGGTGGTGGGCAACATGAGTTCCTTCAAGGAACGCCTTTATAGGCCTTTGACATGAAAATGTTCCACCTATTTAATAAAGTTCCCAGACAAGACAATCTCCTGCTTCTGGAGTTCTCAAGAAGTTATTATTGAGGGAGGTTTAAAAAACAGAGTGAGAGAAAGACATTGAGGACAGATTCTTGTTCTGACGAAGTGAGTTAACAAAGAGAGCATCTCCCAGTTAACTCCCGGGAGGTGGTAGCAACACACAAGGAGCACCAGTCAGACAGGCTGAACTGTGCACTGGTGTCTCTGTCAGACCAGTTCAGCCAGCGGACAGAGGCAGTATTATTGAGCTGTGGGCCTGGCCAAGAGTAGGAACAATAGAGCCAGTGTGCCGGACCCTCGGGAGCATCCCAGCAGCTGGGAGATAGGAGGTCCGTCAGTGGCTGCACTGAATGGCACGTAAACTGGAACTGCTCGTTGCCCACACACTCGTTCGCTTCTGCTCTCACCGACTTTCCTACAATCTCACCTTCTTCTCATTATGCTCATCTTTCTTTCCCTTCTATCTCAATCTCTGCATGCTCCGTCATTATGTCCAGTGTTCTGTATTGCACAATCACCCCACTTCACCTCTGAGGGGGAAGACAAAAGAGAGAGACAGAAAGGGTGATGCAGTTCTTGGTAGCATGAGAAAGCCAGAGGCTGGCAAAGGATCAGAGCTATGTCAACAAACAAGAGAGGTCCAAAAAGCCTCCACAGGAGGCTTGCCAAAACCGTTCTTTCACAAGGGCCTTGAAAAAAAACACCAAAAATCAAACAGGGGGACGTGCCAACCGTGCAGGAGTCTTCATCTCTCAAACGCAAAAAGTTCCCAGGAAGCATGAGACAAAATGGGAACATGCTAAGGTTTGATGCAGGAATAAAGCAGCAAGTACTGTTCAATGAGTAGCTTCTGCTTTATTGACTGTGAACGATTAAAAAAATTGATTTTAGCGTTTCTGATTCTGCTTCACAGAAGGCTTCAACACAAAAACCATTAAAGCCTGAAGAATGATCTGAAGCGGACTTTAAATCAAACCTTTTTAAGATGAATGCACGTCATTTTTAATGTTAACATTTTAACAGCGCCACGTTGCTCTCAGGTTATATTATGAAGGTGCAACAGATGCTTCCCTGTGCAGTATGAAAATATCTACATAAATAATACTTATCACAGCATCCATGCATTCAAGCTCATTTGAAAAGTGTACACCTCCAGACTATTTTAGAGATTGGAATATGACTTTTCCTCTCGGCCAAAGTGAATCTAAACTGACGAACCTTGTTATTAAATAAACAAGTCAGCAAAATTATGACGCTTTTGCATGAAACGCAGCGACAACTACGGCTACTCTGCAGTTTGAGTATCTAATGTATCATTACATTTGACTGCCTCGGTTCATCTGAGACACAAGCTGGCCGCATTAATCCATAGTTGAGGGCAGCAGGCATTGGCTCTGCAGCCAGCGCTACAAAAGACGATTCAGGCATCATAAGCCACTAATCTGGACGTTACAGTTCCACTACAGGCTGTTTTTGTGTGCAAATCATCGAACAGGATATTTAGGTTTCACTAACAGTCTTGTACTGGGTTTAAAATGACACGCAGTAAAAATGGTCTTAAATGGTGTGAATGCTGAGTCTGCATTTATTTTCTTGTTTACTCGTTCCTTCTGTACATTTCTTTGCAATCAATCTTGATTCTGCATACTGTGTGCAGTTTTAACCACGTCATAACTTCCAGCTCAGTCGAGGATAACGTGCTTGTAATTTCTGAGACTTTTTAATTTACAAAATAAAATACACAACTTTACCTAAAATGAAATTCTAAAATAAGACCTTTTCAATTCCTTCAAAAGATTTGTTTTTTTTTTGCTTCAGCATACTTACTTTTGTGTTTTAGTTACCGTTCTACCACTTTTAGCTACTATTTTGCTACTTTTGACTATTAACTTCAGCTCAGCCACTTTTAGCTACCATTTGAATAATTTGTACTTTTTATACAATTTTGCTCATTTTAGCTTTTAGCTACTATTCTGCCACTTTTAGATACCATTCTGCTACTTTGAGCTTTTAGCTCCTTTTCACCTTTAGATAGTTTTGCTAATTTTAGCTACCATTTAGCTACTTTATGATTTTTACTACAATTCTGCAGCTTTAGTATTTAGCCATCATTCTGTTACGTTTAGCTTATAGCTATAATTTAGCTAATTATACATTTTAGTTATGGTTTTGGGAGGGAGGCAGGTGGAACAGTGAGGCCACAAGGAGCAGAGGTCATAAAGGTGCAGGACTTTGAGTACTTGGGGTCCACTGTCCAGGAAAACAGGCAGTGTGGTAAAGAGGTGGAGGAGAGTCCAGGGAGGATGGAGAAAAGTTTCAGGAGTGATTTGTGATTTTTTTTTTTAATGTAGGAGCAAAGATCAAAGGAAAAGTTTACAAGACAGTGGTGAGACCAGCTGTGTTGTTTGGTCTGGAGACAGAGACGTGGACAAAAAGACAGGAGAAAGAACTGGAAGTGGAACAATTAAGATGTTGAGGTTCTCCTTAGGAGTGACAAGGATAGATGAATGAGATCATCAGAGGTACCACACAGGTTGAACTGAGATAAAGTTGGAGAGACCAGACTGAGGTGGTTTGGACATGTCCAGAGGAGGGACAGTGGGTATACTGGTAGAAGGATGTTAGAAATGCAGCTGCCAGGAAGAAGACAAAGAGGAGATGTATGGATGCATTTAGAGAGAGGAAGCAGTTGGAGTGAGGACAGAATGTGATGGATGAGGATGACTCATTGTGGCAACCCCCTGAAAGGAAAACAGCTGAAAGAATAATGAAAGCCTTAAATACAGCTTGGCTAATTCTAGCTTGTGTTCTGCTTGTTTCAACTAAAACAATTCAATTTTTTTTTTAAATTCCATTCTTCAACAAAATTCAGCAAAATCATTCACCCTGCATACAATGCAGATTCTCTATTAATTTGACTGCGAGCCACCAGACGAGTCTGGAATCAGCAACGCAAAAGAAAATCTTTCAACTGTCCCACATAAAGATGCACAGCAGCCAAACGACACTTCTCGTGCTCACTTTTCTTGTTGCACTTGGATAAGTACAAAGAGGGTTTCAGATTTCACAAACCACGATTTTCACCGGGCTGCAAGCTACCATCCCCCCAATGTCAGCCTGCAAACCAACCTGGAAAAGACCCCCCCAGACCCTCTTATTAATATTGCGAATGGAAGTCAGCTCGATCTTTAGTGGTGGTGGTGGTGCAGGGGGTGGCGGTTAATTGCCAGCGGTTGGATTAATCACGCTGCAGCAAACTGAAACTTCCACAATCTCAGACCGGGCTAAACTTACTGCAGATGGGGTTACCCTGGATGCTTCAATCTGGAAATTCACGAGGCGTTACCAAAAAAAAAAAAAAAGTGCTCTCCGGGTTCCCCACAACGTGATGGCATGTCATGGCTCAGACTGTGCAGGGCACACCGAGTGCTGCAGCCGGAGCTCATGCAGATGTGCAGTTTTATCCCCCAGCAGCAGCTGACTCGACCAGCACGAGCTTCATTTAAAAGCAGCAGTAAACAAACTGCTCGTACTTGTTGTCAACATTGCCTCATTAATGTGGGAGTCGAGGCCGTGCTGAATTACCAAGACACCGTTATTAGCCCGGCAGCTCCGGTTCACGTCTAATGTTACAACATGGTCGGTTCAAGTTGCGCGAGAGCTAAGATGCAACAACATTAAGTGACGAATTTCGAGCTAAAACGTGGCTAATTTGTCAAAGCATTACCTGGTGGGTTTGTTAAGATCCTCCTCGTCTTCTTTCCATCCTCACTGAGCAACAAAGCGTGCCACTGTGTCCAAGAATTTAAATCCCCGGGTCAGACCCATGGCTGCACCGTCTCTTGTATCAAACGCACTCCTGCTGCTGCAAGAGGCGGCGGCGAAGAAGAAGAAGAATCCAGCCACTTTGTTTCGGCTAGGGATTCTTCCACTAAATGTCGACGAAAGTGACGTTAAAGGAAGCCTGGTCGACGTATATTTAAGTTTCGTGACTCGGAACCTTGGTCGGGTTTACGCGAACGCGACATAAATCCTTCGTCCACCCCCCAAAAGAGGGTGAAATTAGGTTTATTAGGAGGGAGAGGTCCCCGTAGCTGTCGGTGATAATGGTACGGACCACTCTATTGTTGAGGGCGCGAGAAAGCGTCCGCTTGATGTGTGCTCGTGGGAGGCTCGCGGACAGCGCGTGCGCCCCGAGAGAATTCCAGACGGTCATAATGGACTGTCCAATGGATTAAAGAGGACAATGTAATAAGTTAACAGGCTACACCGCGCACATAGGGAAGCCCACTCCCGCCATTTAGAAGAGAGGGGAAAAAAACAACTATTTAATTCATAAATATGAAGTAAATGACCACAGCATGAAATGCTAAGCCA